TTCTTCACTGCAAATACCTTTTTTCAACAACATACATGGCAACTATACACATGGGCTTCACCAGATGGAATACACAGGAATCAAATAGACTACATTTGTGGAAAGAGACAATGGAAAACCTCAATATCATTAGTCAGAACAAGGCCAGGGGCCAACTGTGGAACAGACCATCAATTGCTCATATGCAAGTTGAAGTTGAAGAAAACTAGAACAATTAGAAAAAGAGCCAAAGTACGACCTTGAGTATATCCCACTTGAATTTACTGACCATCTCCAGAAATAGATTCGACACATTGAACATTAATGACAAGACAAGTGGTGGAATGACATCAAGGACATCATACATGAAGAAAGCAAGAAAGAAATTAAAAACGCAAGAAAGAAAAGACTAAAATGTCTGTCAGAAGAAAATCTCAAAGTTGCTCTTGGACGTAGAGTAGCTAAAGTGGAAAGGAAGAAATGATGACGTACATGAGCTGAACAGAAGATTTCAAAGGGCAGCTCCAGAAGACAAAGTATAATAATGACACGTACAAAGACCTGGAGATAGAAAACCAAAAGGGAAGAACACGCTCAGAATTTCTCAAGCTGAAAGAACTTAAGAAAAAATTCAAGCCTCAAATTGCAATATTGAGGGATTCTACAGGGAAAATATTAAATGACACAGGAAGAATTGAAAAGAGGTGTAAGGAATACACAGAGTCAGTGTACTAAAAGGAATTGGTCGATGTTCAGCCATTTCAGGAGGAAGCATATGATCAAGAGCTGACGATACTGAAAGAAGAGGTCCGAGTTACACTGAAGGCACTGACAAAAGCAAGGCTCGAGGAATTGATGGAATACCAATAGGATGTTTCAACAAATGGATGCAGTGCTGGGAGTGCTCAGTCATCTATGCCAAGAAATTTGGAAGATAGCTACCTGGTCAACTGACTGGAAGAGATCCATATTTGTACCCATTCCAAAGAAAGAAGATCCAACAGAACGCAGAAATTAGCACACTATCATTAATATCACGCATAAGTAAAATTTTGCTAAAGATCGTTGCAAAGTGGTTACAACAGAACATTCACAGGGAACTGCCAGAAATTCAAGCCAGATTCAGGACAGGACATGGAATGTGGAATATCATTGCTGATGTCACAAGGATCCTACCTGAAATCAGAGAATACCAGAAAGATGTTTACCCGTGTTATGTTGACTATGCAAAGGCATTCTACTGTGTGGATCATAACAAATTATGGATAACATTGCAAAGAATGGAAATTCCAGAACACTTAATTGTGCTATTGTGGAACCTGTACATAGACCAAGAGGCAGTAATTCGAACAGAACAAGGGGATACTGTGTGGTTTAAAATCAGGAAAGGTGTGTGTCAGGGTTGTATCCTTTCACCATACTTATTCAATCTGTATACTGAGCAAATAATCTGAGAAACTGGACTACAAGAAGAAGAATGTGGCATCAAGATTGGTGGAAGACTAATTAACAACCCGCAATATGCAGATGACACAACCTTACTTGCTGAGAGAGAAAAGGACTTGAAGCACTTACTATGAAGATCAAAGACTACAGCCTTCAGTATGGATTTCACCTCAACATAAAGAAAACAAAAATCCTCACAACTGCACCAATAAGCAACATTGTGATAAATGGATAAAAGATTGACATTGTCAAAGATTTCTTTACTTAAATCCACAATCAATGCTCATGGAAGCAGCAGTCAGGAAATCAAAGGACGTATTGCACTGGGAAAATCTCTTTAAAGTGTTAAAAAGCAAAGATGTCACTTTGAGGACTAAGTAGCATCTGACCCAAGCCATGATATTTTCACTCGCCTCATATGCGTGTGAAAGCTGGACGATGGATAAGGAAGACTGAAGAAGAATTGAGGCCTTTGAATTATGGTGTCGTTGAAGAATATTGAATATACCACGGATTGCCAGAAGTACAAACAAATTTGTCTTGGAAGAAGTACAGCCAGAATGCTTCTTAGAAGGGAGGATGGTGAGACTAAGTCTCACGTACTTTGGACATGTTATCAGGAGTGATTAGTCCCTGGAGAAGGACATCAAGCTTGGTAAAGTAGATGCTAGTGAAAAAAAGGAAGACCCTCAACGGGATGGATTGACACAGTGGCTGCAACAATGGACTGAAGCATAACAATGATTGTGAGGGTGGTGCAAGACCGGGCAGTGTTTTGCTCTGTTGTACATGGGGTCTCTGAGAGTCAGAACTGGCTGAACAGCACCTAACAACACAACAACAATATACTTTTAAATATTGTTATGCATAAAAGTATTTTAATAATTATGTATCTCTACACAAATATATATGTAAATTTTAGTTACATTTTAAAAAATTTCCTGTAACCATAAACAAAATAATTTCTTCTGGATTGAATGCTCATTACAGTAATAGTTAATGATTGACCAGCAGAACACACATGTTATACATTTTGATAAATAATTATTAAATATAAAAGTAAAGTTTTTATGAAATGATGCATCTTTATTTAAATGCATGTTTTCCAGTTAGGAATACAATCTGTATTTCTAGAATAAGACAGTATTCAGCATCAATTCAATTCCTGTATTTTGTTTCTATAGAGGTGAGTGCTGAGAAAATTAGTAGATGGGAATGAAAGAAGTTGTTGTAGAAATTTTACTCGGTTATTTGAACTCCCTTTGAGTTATTTGTATAAAAAATAACCAGGTGATCTATCATCAAAAATTATTTTAAACAATATATCAGCTGTTAATTTGTTTAGATTCTCTTTCAAACTTGGTGAAAATAAGGAGTTGAAAAACCAGCAGATATAATTCATTTATTTTTTCAGTACTGACACCAAATGTTTCCAGTTGTCTCTCTTCTTGGCACCTGGAAGTTTTTAAACCCCAAGGCAATGCATTATTATAAAATTATGAATGTTGAAAAATATGACTTTCTTTTGTAAGACAAGAGGAATATTATTTCAAAAGGAGAAACTTGTCTTTTTTTAAAGAAAAGAATGCATAAGTAACTTGAGGATCTATAAATTGATCTAAAGCTTTTTATACCTGCCTCCTTGAAAGACTTAATATGACTTGGTGCTATGGATAAGACAGCTGCTAAAAAGAAATAATAATTTAAAGCTATTACCACTTGAAAAGAATGTATTAACAGGGTAACCTTAACTTTTGAGAAAAATAGGGAATAATACATTTATTGAGTTATAAATTTACATGACCTCCTTATGTAAATCTGTAGTGATTGTTTTGACAGAATATATGCCTAATTCATAGAACCTGAAACCCTACCATCATGTCCTTAGAAGACCATTGACTCCAGTGTGTTGAAGTCAAACTGTTAGACTAAATATTGGTGTTCTTAGATGATTACTTGGTGTTGTAATTTAGAGTTCTTTATACTGTCAAATACTTCTCTTCCTTTGCTCATGTTGCTCCTTCCACTTGATTACTAACTCCTCCTCCCTGTCCCCATATATGGCAAGTATTAGATATCTTCATTATAGCTCTTTTATATTGTAGTTATGAAGGTCAATCCATTCTGCTTCCTAAACATATTTCAAATCTTATCTCATCTCTCCATCCCACTGCCCTAGTTTAAACTAACATCATTTCTCAATTGGTAGTGATCTTCCAACTGATCTTCCTGACTCCATTCTCTTCCCACTCTAATGTCTCCAGTATAGAATTATTATAATGACCTGTCAAAATGTGGACTAATTCCATATTCTTCTACTCAGGACTCTTTAGTTGCTCTTAGTCAGTGTCTTTATTTCAATGTTATATGCTGCCAAAAACAGAAGTATTAAATATTTACTTTCATGTATTATCTATAATTATCTGTTCTCAATCACCTGTTAAGATTTTTCTCCAGCAACTATCTCCATCTGTTTTACACTCTAGTTACACACGTTACTTATTAACTTGAACACACATCATGGTACATTTATTAGAATATGACAATGGAGACATAACTTTGTTTTAGTAATAGTCAACCTAAACTTCTGGCTACTTATAAGGAAAAGTCAAAATTTATTCATATGCATAGAGGTTATATCTTTTTTCAATAAAAGTTATAATTTATCACAGAAATGTGTGTTTAGGTAACATTAATCACATTAAGCATGGCTATAGGACACTGAGCCCTGGTGGCACAGTGGTTAAGAGCTTGGCTGCTAACCAAAAGGTCGGCAGTTTGAATCCATCAGCTGCTCCTTGTTAACCGTATGGGGCAGTTATACTCTGTCCTGTAGGGTAGCTATGGGTTAGAATCAACTTGACGGCAACTGGTTATAGGATACAAGAAAAAATGACAAAGAAAATATTTGTAAGATGAAGGGAGGCCACGGCAAAGAAAAACTATATTCGTAGTCCTTTAATGTATCAAGGTTTTTCAAAATGTGTTTTCAAAACACACATGCACAATACACAACATACCTACATAATTCTACTTCATCTGTATTAATAAGAAAAAGGAATTCTGTTTGTCCCATACTCTAGAAATCAATGGATCATAACCATGTTTTTGTAATTCCCTTTGGATTCAGAATAGTGAGGCAGGATAAACACTGGCATGTTAAAGATAGGTTCTACTAACAATTTCAACACTTACTAACCATGTAATCTTTCATAGGTCATTTATCTTTACTAAATCTCAGTTTTCTCATTTATAAAGTGAATATCACAATATATTCCCTTTCTGCTTAAGGAGAGATTATGAGTTTCATGTGAGATAACATGTGAGAGTATATGATAAATTTAAAGAGCTTTAGAAATATATTGCTTTATTGAATTATTCCTTAGTTTCTTTTTCTTTAACTTTAATCCTGTATTTCCTGAGGATCTAGTCTATCTTGATATGTTGATAAGGCTAATAAATAGTCAAATAAGGAAATAAAGGATAAGTGGAAGGAATGTATTGGGAGTTTGTTTATTTTATTTTTTCTTATTTCTTTCTTTTCTGTTTCTTATGTTTCTTCCTCATTAAAACAGTTTTGGTATGAACCATGATGGAATTGGAAATTCTTGTGGGACGAAAGGTCATGAAGCAGCAAAACTTATGGCAGCTCACATTACTGCAAATACCAATCCTTTTTCCTGGTCTGCCTGCAGTCGAGACTATATCACCAGCTTTCTAGAGTAAGTAATCTCTGGAGAGTGATGATGAATTGCTCCAGAAGTTAAGCCATTGGTAGAAGCCTAATATTTAGTGCTTCAAGCCTTGCGTAGTGAGTAACTTTTATAGGGCCCAGTAATATTTCAGGCCATTCCCAAAATACTTTAAAAAACCATTGTGGCTACTAAGTAGACAATAGATACGTGATAATTTTGGTGAAGGGCATGACAGTACACAATACTGGGGAAGCCAGCATAACCTGTATAAGGAAAGGTCATGGAAACTCCATAGACATATCCAAACTCCCTGAGGGACTGAATTGCTGGGCAGAGGGCTGTGGGGACCATGGTCTCGGGAAACATCTAGCTCAATTGGCATAACATAGTTTATAAAGACAATGTTCTACATTCTACCTTGGTGAGTAGCATCTGGGGTCTTAAAAGCCTGTGAGCAGCCATCTAAGATACTCCACTGATCCCACCCCATCAGGAGCAAGGGAGAATGATGAAAACAAGATACAAGGGAAAGATTAGTCCAAAGGACTAATGGACCACAACTACCACGGCCTCCATCAAACTGAGACCAGTACAACTAGATGGTGCCCAGCTACCACCACTGACTGCTCTGACAGGGATCACAACAGAGGGT